TCCCAGAATTGGAGCTATTTATATTTTCTCCTCTAGCGGTCTTCCCAGAATTCCCCAGCCAGCCATGTTTGAAGATTTCTGGACTTCCCAGAATTCCTCAGCCATGAGAATTAGGGTTCAAAGGTCAGTTCTATGAGGGGGGGGGCCTGAATCCCCTCTCCCACCTCTATTCAGTTTTCCCTTTCAGAAAAATGGCCTGGCGGATAGTCTTGTAAACTAAACTCTCCCATTGATTTGACTCATTTCATTTATTGATTGATCAGAATTCAGGAACCCTGGGCAAGTCTCCAACGGGTTGGCCTCAGTTGTCCCCATCTATGAAACGGGCACAAGCCACAGCCCGGAACACTTTGCATGGGAGACACAACGTCCGAACGCACAGAGAAACACAAATATTAAAAATCCAGGACAGCGCAGATTAGAGGACTGCGTGTCGGTGTGTGTGTGTGTGTGTGTGTGTGTATGTATGTCTCTGTGTGTGTCACAAAAAGTTAATGTAAAACTCCAAAGGCGTCTTATAGCTTGTGGAGATGGCACGGGGCCAAGGCCGGAGTCACCCACAGAAGAACCTGGAAAGGGGTGTGTGTGTGAAGAAATGTCTATATTTGTGACTCCCAGCCCAGCAAAACAGAAAAATTGGGCCTTTATTTTGCCCTTAATTACCACCTGTCTGGCCAGGTGAGCCAAACTCAAAAAAGTGTATGTGTGTGTTGTGTGTGTGTGTTGGGGGGGGGTTGTGGATGGAATTTCCTGCGTGGAAAAGGTGTCCCAGGTGGCAAAGGAGACGGGGGGGGGGAGGAGGGGGGGAGGCAGGTGGGCAGCATTGCTGACAAAAAGGCCGGTGCAAAATCAAAAGCCTCAGCGGGCAGATTAATTTCTTAATTAAGAAATTAAGAGATCAAACGGAGAAAGGAAGGAAGGAAGGAAGGAAGGAGGAGGGAAGGAAGGGAGGAAGGAAGGGGGGAGGGAGGGAAGGAAGGAAGGAAGGATAAGAAAGAGGGGGGAAGTAGATAGAGAAGGGAGGGAGGTAGGAAGGAAGGAAGGAGAGAGGGAGGGAAGGAAGGAAAAGAGAAAGAGAGGAAGGAAAAAGTAAATAAAGAAAGGAGGGAGGGAGGGAGGAAGGAAGGAAGGAAGGAGAGAGGGAGGGAAGGAAGGAAAAGAGAAAGAGGGAGGAAAAAGTAAATAAAGAAAGGAGGGAGGGAGGGAGGGAGGAAGGAGAGAGGGAGGGAAGGAAGAAAGGAAGGATAAGAGAAAAAAGGGGGGAAAGTAAATAAAGGAGGGAGGTAGAAAGGAAGGAAGGAGAGAGGGAGGGAGGGAAGGAAGGAAAAGAGAAAGAGAGGGAGGAAAAAGTAAATAAAGAAAGGAGGGAGGGAGGAAGGGAGGAAGGAAGGAAGGAAGGAAGGAGGGGCACAGACCTGGTCTGTGGAAAAGGAACCTCTTCTGAACTTTTGGGGGACCTCTCTCCCCCCCCCACTCCCGATTCTCTGCACACACACACCCACACACACACACACACACCTCGCTCACCTGCGGGCAGCGATCCGCGGAGAGGTTCGCCCCGTCTGTTGTGGCAACCGGCCCTGCTTTCTTTTCTTCTTCTCTCTCTCTCTCTCTCTTTCCTTCCTTCCTTCCTTCCTTCCCTCCTTCCTGGACGGGCGGCCAAGGAAGGCGGGCGGCTGCGCTGGCTCTTCCCACGCCTCCCCCGCGGCTCACCTGGCCGCCAGGTGGGAGGAGGCGGGGGCGGGGCAGCTGCTGCTCCTGCCCGGGGCCGGCGGGACTTCCCACCTGCGTGGCGCGCGGGTGGGCGGGGACGGGCAGGTAAGGCGCCACGCAGGTGGGAAGTCCCGCTGGTTGCCCCAGGTTGCTCTCCCCCCCCACCACGGGGGTCTCTCTCGTGGCCCTGGACCTGCCTCGGTGTGCGTGCGTGGTTTTTTTTGTGCCTGTGTTTTTGTGGGGGTGGGTGGGTGGGTGTTTTTTTGTGTGTGTCCGTGTTTTTTGTCTTTCCGAGAGGACCCTCCTGAGATGCGGGAGGAACCCAGACGGGTCTGGGGTCTGCAGAAACTCGGCGGAGAGGAGGCGGGAGAGGGCTTGGTGGGCGCCGGGGAGACCCCGACACGACACGGGGGAGCGAGAACGTCGGGAAAGAGAAGGCTGGTTCAGAAGGGCGAAGGAGGGGGAAGGAGACGGGAGGGAGACTTGCCCCTCTGCAGGGTTTCAGGATGTGGGTCTTCTTCTGACTGAGCAGGGGGCTGGACTAGAAGACCTCTAAGGTCACTTCCGTCTTCTCTTCTCTTCTCGGTCCCATCCCATCCCATCCCATATTTTCTGTTCTATTCTATTCTATTATTCTGTTCTAAATTCTATATTCTATATTCGATATTCTATTCTATTCTATTCTATTCTATTCTATTCTATTCTATTCTATTCTATTCTATTCTTCTATTCTATATTCTATTCTGTTCTGTTCTATTCTATTCTATTCTATTCCATCCTCTATTCAATTCCATCCTCTATTCTATTCTATTCTATTCTATTCTATTCTATTCCTTATTTCTATTCTATTCTATTCTATTCTATTCTTTTCTATTCTATTCTATTCTATTCTATTCTATTCTATTCTATTCTATTCTATTCTATGCATTTGCCCAGAGAGTTCAGACACAACTCTTTTCTTGGTGTTAGCATTGCAACTTTTTAAATTTTATTTTATTTTACTTTTATTTTAGATAAATAGATGATAGGTAGGTATGTAGGTAGGTAGACAGAGACAGACAGATAGGTAGAGATAGATAGATGATAGCTAGATAGATAGATAGATGGATGGATAGATAGAGATGGATAGATAAAGATAGATAGATAGATAGATAGATAGATAGATAGATAGATAGATAGATAGATAGATAGATAGATAGATAGATGACAGATGGATGGATGGAAAGATAGACAACTCTGAACGGTCAGTAAATGAACTTTGTAAGTCAAGGACTAACCTGTATTTTATTTTATTATTTTGTTAATTAGACTTTTATGCTGCTCACCTTCTCTACGAGGTGACTCTAGATGACTTACCAAGTTACAAAACAAGGGAAAAGAATTAAAAAAAATTAAAATAACTACCTAGGTTAGAATACTGTTTAAAAGATTAAACAGATTAAACAGTTTAATATCCAGTTGCCTTTTCCAAAATGAAAACCACTTTTGATTAAAAAAAACAAAAAAACCCACACTTTTTGAAATTGACACACATGCCTATGTGGAGCCATGTAGATTCTTGCACACCCAGGCTCCACGTCGCCTCCCTCTTGCACGCTTGCGGCTGGCATGCCAGAGGGCACGCAGAGGACTAGAATCTTCGTGCCTCCTTCTATTTCCTTCCAACATCCGAACGGAACTGAAACCTACGAGGAAAAAAGGGAAAAAATGTGTTGTCCAGACAACTAGTTTTCGGTGACCTGTTTGGAGGGTGATTCATGTTTCAAGCGTGTCGAACATGCCCCGGGCAACTGTCGGCAAGCTGCCGGCCTTCCAGCATTTCCCAGAATCCCCCACTCAGTGCTAGCTCAGAATTCTGGGAAATTAATCCAAACACACTGAGGTTGAGGAAAGATGCTGAGGGTGGGTCCTCAAGGGGGCCATAGTTCCCCCATGCTGGCTGAGGAATTCTGGGAGTTGAAGTCCATGAATCATGAAGGGGCCATAGTTCCCCTATGCTGGCTGAGGAATTCTGGGAGTTGAAGTCCACAAGTCCTCAAGGGGGCCATAGTTCCCCCATGCTGACTCAGGAATTCTGGGAGTTGAAGTCCGCGAGTCATGAAGGGGGCCATAGTTCCCCCGTGCTGGCTCAGGAATTCTGGGAGTTGAAGTCCTCGAGTCCTAAAGGGGGCCATAGTTCCCCCATGCTGGCTGAGGAATTCTGGGAGTTGAAGTCCAGAGTCCTAAAAGAGCCAAGATTGCCTACCCCCTGAGCTAAACCAATCTTTTTCAAAGTTGACCCCCCTGAAAACGGGTGGACTTGCCCAGCATGTTGGCTGGGGAATTCTGGGAGTTGAAGTTCCCACCCCTGTCCACGTGGCCATGTTTGGAAAAGACTGACCTTGGGTGGGTGGCTTTGGCCAGGATTTTACAAACTTTGAGCCACCCTTACAAGGTTGTGGGGTTCACCTGAGAAGTGTGCCCCCCACATACACCTCCATGTAAAAGCCCCTTCCCCATTCAGCCCTCCCAGCCCCCTGGCCGTCTGCTCCCCCCCCCAAACATACACTCACTCCACTGCGCAGGAAATCAGTCCGAGAAAGAAGCAGGAGCCTGAGATGTAAAGGAGCAGCTGGATGACCTTTGGCAACCCCTGGTATTCTGTGGGGTGAAGCAGGCGGAGTTGCAGAGGGACTGGAGGGGGCGAAGGAAAGGGGGCAAGGAGGCAGGAAGGGAGGGGGGGGCGGTTCCGGGGATCTGGGATCCACCCCGCTCATATCATTTCTGCAGCTGAGCCACGTTCCCCGGTGGAACTGCCTGCCACAAGACGCAACTTCGCTGCTAATGCACAGGCAGTCCTCAAGTTACAGCAGTTCGTTTAGTGACTGTTCAAAGTTACGACAACACTGTGACTTAGGACCCTTTTTCACACTTATGACCGTCGCAGCTTCCCCATGGTCACCTGATCAAAATTCGAATGCTTGGCTGCCGACTTGTATTTATGACGGTCGCAGCGGGGAGAGGAGGGAGGTGGGGCCAGGGAGGGAGGGGTCTGAGGCCCACCCTCAGGAGGCGGGGACAAGGGAGGCGGGGCCAGGGAAGGAGGGGACTGTGGCCCATCCCTAGGGGGCGGAGCAGAGCAGGGAGGCGGGGCCAGGGAGGGAAGAGTTGAGTGGCCCACCCCCAGGGGGCGGAGTGGAGGGAGGCGGGGCCAGGGAAGGAGGGGACTGAGGCCCACCCCCAGGAGGCAGAGTGGAGGAGGGAGGCGGGGCCAGGGAGGGAGTTGTGTGGCCCACCTCCAGGGGGCGGAGTGGAGGAGGGAGGCGGGGCCAGGGAGGGAGTTGTGTGGCCCACCTCCAGGGGGCGGAGTGGAGGAGGAAGGCGGGGCCAGGGAGGGGACTGAGGGCCACCCCCAGGGGGCGGAGCAGAGCAGGTAGGTGGGGCCAGGGAGGGAGGAGACTGTGGTCCACCCATAGGGGGTGGAGCGGAGGAGGGAGGCAGGGCTAGGGAGGGAGGGGACTGTGCCCACCCGCAGGGGACGGAGCAGAGGACGGAGGCGGGGCCAGGGAGGGAGGAGTTGTGACCTACCCCCAGGAGGCGGAGTGGAGGAGGGAGGTGGGGCCAGGGAGGAAGGAGTTGTGTGGCCCACCCCCAGGGGGTGGAGTGGAGGAGGGAGGCGGGGCCAGGGAGGGAGGGGACTGTGCCCACCAGCAGGGGACAGAGTGGAGGAGGCGGGGCCAGGGAGGGAGGAGACTGCGGCCCACCCCCAGGAGGCGGAGTGCAGGAGGGAGGCGGGGCCAGGAAGGGAGGGGCCTGTGGCCCACCCCCAGGGGGTGGGGCGGAGGAGGGAGGCGGGGCCAGGGAGGGAGGGGCCTGTGGCCCACCCCCAGGGGGCAGAGCAGAGGAGGGAGGCGGGGCCAGCCTCTCACCTGGGTAGCAGATCCTCCGGTCCCAGCAGGGTATCTCCATCCTTCGGCAGCTGGAGCAGTTGAAGAGGGAGGCCGCCACATCTGGCAGAAGAGATGCAATAAACGGACAACAATTCACGACCACAACAGGACCCAAAGTATCCCCACCGCCGTTACGTGAGTTTTGTCCCATTTCTATCTGTTTTATTAATTTTTTAAAATTTATTATTACACTTCATACTGCACCTTTCTGTCCCCCAACATTCAAGGCAGCTTACCAGATTTTAAAAATGCCCAACAAATATATCGATATAATGAAAAATCAAAGCCTAGCTTTAGGACCAATCGCCGGTCCTTAAAATAACGATCCATCTGACGGCTTTATGGGGGTGGGGTGGGGAACTTACGGCAAGCAGGTGGACACAGAGCTGGAAGAGAAAGAATAAAAACCAATATAAAACTAAAAGCAGACGATAAGAGGCGTGAAAAATAAATACCCCGGATGATGAGCGTCACGAGGACTAGCTCCTTGTCCAATTTGCAAAATATTCGCGGACGTTTCGGAAGTTCCGGTGTGGGCTTCTTGCCCGTCGATTCATCAAATTAATTAAATTTCAATTGATAAGCTGCCCACCACGTTATCCGAAACGACACCCCTATGAATACCTTGACGTTGGCCCGTTATTCAAGAGCGTCGGTTCTTCTAATTTCTCTATTTCTATTTATTGCGGAGTTTTGTTTTGTTTTTTATTCCGCTTTTACAAGTCACTTATGGGTGTGTTAAGACCCTTTGGTTCCTACGCCCTTTGCAAACAGAATCCCCCTAAAGTCAAGATCAGAAAGGAACCCTCAAGGTCATCTAGTCTGACCCCCCCCACACACACACACACTGAATCAGCTCCCTCTCTGCGATCGGTCCCTGCGCTACCGGCAGTCCTGGACCGACAAACGTTTGCTTAGTGACTGGAGTCACGACGACACTGGAAAAAGCGGCTTGGGATCCGTTGTTCACACTTAACGACCGTGGCACCATTCCCCCACGGTGACAATATTCAAAATTCAGAGGCTTGGCTACTGACCGGTCTCTATGACGGTCGCGGTAATCATAACGATCCCCTTTTGCAACCTTCCTATCAAGCCACCTCAACGGGGAAGCCAGATTGACTTAAGAACCGTGCGACTCACTTAACAGACGCAGCGATTCGCTTAACAACGGTGGCTGGAAAGGCAGAAAAAGAGGGCAAAATCCGCTTCGCCACCGTCTTGCTTAGTGACGGAAATCTCGGGCTCCATTTTGGCCGTTAAGCCGAGGATTAGCTGCGTTTTGAAACCAGGCTTGCTCAGAGCCCAATTCAGCCTTTCTCTCTGGGGTCTTCCAATAATAATAATAATAATAGTAATAATAATAATAATAATAATAATAGTAGTAGTAGTAGTAGTAGTAATAATAACAACAATAATAATAACAAACTACACAATAATAATAGTAATAGTAGCAATAGCAATAGTAATAATAATAATAAAAACAACAACAATAATAGTAATAATAATAGTAATAACAACAATAATAATAACAGACAACAAACAACACAATAATAATAGTAATAATAGTAGTAGTAGTAATTATAACAATAATAAAAACAAACAAACAACAACAACAACAACAATAATAATAATAATAATAAAGTTGGAGGGGACCTTGGAGGTCATCTAGTGTCGATCCGAACCTGCAACTTTGGGGGGGCGAGTGCGAAACAGCCGTCTTAAAGAAAGCAGTCAGACAGACTGGACTCCTCCCAAGCCAGACCCCCCCCTCCCTTCCCGAAGAGCCGAGTGCGGATCCTCCCACCTTCTCTGGTCTCGCTGGGGATCTTAACCTCGTGCAGCCAGTTCCAAAACTTCGGGACGTCCACAAAGCTCTGTTTTATTTCTAAGGGAAAGAAGAAAAGGGGGGGGGAGCCCTGCAGAGCTGTGGACTACAACTCCCACCATCCCCAGCCAGGCTCAGGGGACGAGCCAGGCCGGCATCAGCCCTTGAACCCTGCTCATGCCCACCATGGCGGGGCAGGGGGGGGCTGGGGACCCGCTTACCGATCACCCGGAGCACCCGATGGGCTTTCTCCAGGAGCAAGTCCAGCGCTGCCTCATCTGGGGCCGAGAAAATAGAGAAGGGGGGGGAGGCTGTTGCAAGCCGGGGCTGGACCTAGCGGATAGCTGCCTGCAGGGAAAATCACTGGCCCAAGCCTGCTTGGGTCCTGAAGCCCAGGAAGCAGCGTGGGCCGATTCTCTGCTGTTCGACCTGTCCTACCTCGCAGGGCTGTTATTCCAGAGGATTATGAGACTCGGCGTCCAACCCGAAACCCTCCGGCAGAAGCGCAACGATGGCGCGAAGGAGACTGGCACGGCTTTGTAACAAGGCTGCCAAAGCGACGCCTTGCACAAAAGGTCCTCGACGTACGACGGACCACTTAGTGACCGAAGGAAATGGCCGACAACCCGTACTCAAATTGTCCTAAGGAGAGACTGGACGGCCATTTGTCTAAAAAGATACAGGTTCTCCTGCTTGAGCAGGGGGCTGGACTAGAGGACCTCTGAGGTCACCTCCAGCTCTATTCCGATTGATTGATTGATTGATTGATTGATTCAATTGATTGAAATGGACTACAACAGTGGTTCTCCACCTGTGTGTCGGGACCCCATTTGGGGTCGAACGATCATTTCACGGGGGTCGCCAAACAACGCAGTCCGCCATTTTTTCCCCCTTTTCCTTAGCTGTGCTCCTCCCTTTTATTCTATTGGCTTTGGAAAGCCAATCGAATAGACTCTCTTGAATGGAGTCTAATTCTATTGGCTTTCAAAAGCCAATAGGAATTGTCCAGGCTGTCTCTGCCCTGCTGAGCCCGCCAAAAGTCCCATTCTGCAAACGGTGCTGCACCAGTTGAGTAGTCCTCGACTTATGACCGGTTGAGTAGTCCTCGACGTACGACCGGTTGGGGGTCGCGGCATTAAAAAGGTTGAGAACCACTGCCCTGGAGTCTCCTGTTTGAGCAGGGGGTTGGACTAGAGGATCTTCAAGGTCCCTTCCAGCTCCATTCTGATTGATTGATTGATTGATTGAAATTACGACCGTCCCTGGGTGTAGTGTGAGCTCCCTCCTATGGGCGGGGTGCCTCCCCCTTCTTCATGGCCCCCCCTCCCAGGTTGAGGTCCCGGGGTCTCTCTCTACCTAAGGCGAAGTCCCGAACAGCCGCTGCCCCCCAGGGGTACTTGGAGCAGCCCCCCCGGGCGAAACGCTCTCGGTGGCGGGCGCAGAGCCGGGCGAAACGCATCCTCAGGTTCTTGAACTCGTGTCCGCAGTGGAGGCAGCCCTCCGCGCCCCCCATGGCCAGGTGGAGGAGGAAGAGGAAGAGGAGGAGAAAGACAGCTGGGGTGGGCCAAGGGACCCCTAGCCCCAGGGGCACCGGGGCAGGGGGTGCAAGATGGCCCATGGTGAGCAGCTAATGGGCGGAGCCAGGAAGGAGTGGGCGGGGCCCCAAGGGTGTTCTGGAACCCCGTTTCCATGGTGTCTTTGGCCCCGGGTTCTAGAGTTTGGTGAGGCCAAGAATCACAGAAGCCACGAATCATAGAAACCACAAATCACAGAAACCACGAATCATAGAAACCAAGAATCATAGAAGCCAAGAATCAAAGAAACCAAGAATCATAGAAACCACGAATCATAGAAACCATGAATCATAGAAACCAAGAATGATAGAAACCAAGAATCATAGAAACCATGAATCATAGAAGCCAAGAATCACAGAAACCACGAATCACAGAAACCAAGAATCAAAGAAACCACGAATCATAGAAACCATGAATCATAGAAACCATGAATCATAGAAGCCAAGAATCATAGAAGCCAAGAATCATAGAAACCAAGAATCAAAGAAACCACGAATCATAGAAACCACGAATCATAGAAACCATGAATCATAGAAGCCAAGAATCATAGAAACCAAGAATCAAAGAAACCAAGAATCATAGAAACCACAAATCACAGAAACCACGAATCAGAGAAACCATAAATCATAGAAACCAAGAATCATAGAAGCTACGAATCATAGAAACCAAGAATCACAGAAACCAAGAATCACGGAAACCATGAATCAAAGAAACCACGAATCATAGAAACCATGAATCATAGAAGCCAAGAATCACAGAAACCATAAGGCAAGAACGGACCATGGAGGTCTTCTAGTCTGACCCCCAGGAGCCCAAGGCAGCAGACTTTATATCATTCCAGACAAATAATTTAATAAATTAAGGTATAGTTGTATTTAAGATTATATTAAATGTGGATATATTTATATATAACACATAAATTCTGGGTCTGCTTTGGCTCAGCAAAGCTTTGCTAGGCATTTGGCATACGGATATTCCTTGATTTACGACTGCAGTTGAGCCCAAAATTTCCACCGCTAAGCAAGACAGTCATTAAGTGAGTTTTGCCCTGTTTTATGACTTTCCTTGACACCGTTGTTAAGTGAATCACTGCAGTTGTTCAGTGAGTCACACGACTGTTAAGTGGATCTGGCTTCCCCCATGGTCGTTGCTTGTCAGGAGGTCGCAAAAGAATATCACATGACCCAACCGGAACGCCGCGACCGTCGTAAGTGTGAATCAGCGGCCCAAAGTCACTGTTTCTGGGTCCGTCACTTCAAACGGTCACTAAACAAACCGTTGTAAGCAGGGGACTATCTGTGATCTGTAGCTTTTGGCCTGATTCACATATTTGGGCCGTATCTTCGAAGGGATTTCGTTGTTTTCAGCAAACCAGGTTTTGACCAGAACAGGAATTGCACACAAGAGCAACTTGGCCATCAGCTCTCCAGGATGGTTTAACTGGTTTTCCTGGAAAGGGTTGGACTAGATGACCCTTGAGGGTGCTTTCCAAGTGCACAACTCTAGGATTTCCCCATTCGTCTGGCCAAGGCGTCTCCCCAGCCTGTCGGCTTTGTGGCGCCTCGACAGTTGTGATTGCGGTGCAGTGTTTCTCAACCTGGGCAACCTGGAGATGGGTGGACTTCACTTCCCAGAATTCCCCAGGCCAGCAAGGCCTGATGGGAACCATTTCAATCTCCTAATCATCTAATCATCTTCTAATAAAGGACAGCGACTAAATTTCTCAGTCCTGCCTGGACCCCGAAAGAGATTAGATTAGACCCCTAACCACAAGCCACCTTGGAACCGGGGTTTAAGACGATGGGTGAGAAAGCATCCTTCAGAAACCCTGGAAAATTCCCATCTCTCTGGTTGCTGAGGATTATGGGTCTAAGAGGACTAGGCAGGATCTCTCAGTTAACCCAGTTAACAGATCGAACGTGGGCTCTTCTGGGACCGAAGCCATGTTCTCTCCAGATCATGTTCAGGTTGAAGATGTCAACAGAAGAAAGTCTTTGTAGAACTCAGGGTTCAAATCTGGGTTCTCGGCGCTCTCTGAGCTGGGTGGTTTCCTTGCAGACGTTTCGTGACCCAACTGGGGAACATCATCAGTGCTAGAAGGGAGTTGAGGAGGAGGAGGAGGAGGAAGAAGAAGAGGAGGAGGAGGAGGAGGAGGAGGAAGACAACGACGACGATGACAATGACAGCTGGGGGGGGGTCCTTGGTGCTCTCTGAGCTGGGTGGTTTCCTTGCAGACGTTTCATGACCCAACTAGGAAACATCATCAGTGCTAGAAGGGAGTGGGGTTTATGGAGAGGAGGAGGAGGAGGACTATGGGGGTCCTTGGGATTCTCTGAGCTGGGTGGTTTCCTTGCAGACGTTTCATGACCCAACTAGGGAACGTCATTAGTGCTAGAAGGGAGGAGGGGGGGAAGGGAAAGGGGGAGGGGGAGGGGAAGGAGGAGGAGGAGGGGGGGAGGGGGAGGAGGGGGGAGGGGAGGGGGAGGAGAAGGAGGACTTCTTTGGGGTCCTTGAAGCTCTCCAAAATTGGTCGTTTTCTGGCAGACCTCTCATGACCCAACTAGATAGCATCATCAGGTCCAAACTGAAGCAACCTTAAAGTTTAAGAATCCCTCTGCACATGCTCCAAGGGGGATATTCTCGCCTGCAGCCTCTGGCTGGACCAGGTGCTTCCCCAGCACCCTGGCTTGACTGCAGCTGTGCTGGACCCCCCCCCTTCAACTCCCTCCCCTCGTGCCCCAACCTTCCGGTCTGAACACGTCCTTGGAAGGACAGAAAAGCTGGAAGGGAAACCCAGACTGCACAGCGCCCAGGTGAGGTGTGAGCAGAGACCACGTGCCTGTGTGTCAGAGCCACGCAGGGGAGAAACGGGCCTGGGGAAAGGAGGCTTACTCAGACCCAAAGGAGAATGTAGGTCAGGGCCCACCTGACGCCAGCAGCTACCTCTGCCCTGGGCTGTGTGAATCAGCAACAAGGGAGCGGTGCAAAAACACACATTTATTGTGTTATCAAAAATTACACCCTGCCCTGCCAGGTCAGGTGGCTGACATTTGCCCTGCGCGATTTTGGCACTCTGAAAACCACAGCAGGATGCGCAAGAAATAACATTGCTTCTGGATCTCAAGAAATTAAGAAACGTTCCCAAACTCAGCGCAGGAACTTTCCCAAACTCAAAGGGATTCTGGAACCCAGAAGGCACCGATTTGCAAAAGTGAGCTATTAATTGACAGAGGGAGGGAGGGTGAATCCTGTTCAAAGCAAAATTCAGAAGAGAAGAGAAGAGAGGAGAAGAGAAGAGAATATAGAATATAGATTCTATTCTATATTCTATATTATAGAATATAGAATAGAATAGATTATAGATTATAGAATAGAATAGAATATAGAATATAGAATATAGATTCTATTCTATATTCTATATTATAGAATATAGACTAGAATATAGATTATAGAATAGAATAGAATAGAATAGAATAGAATAGAATAGAATAGAATAGAATAGAATAGAAGCTGGAAGGGACCTTGAAGGTCTTCTAGTCCAGCCCCCTGTACCGTCTCCGAAAGGTGACTGTCCAGTCTCTTCTTAAAAACCTCCAGTGATGGAGCGCCCACGATTTCTGGTGGCAAGCTGTTCCACTGGTTAATTGTCCTCACTGCCAGGAAGTTTCTCCTTAATTCCAGGTTGCTTCTCTCTTTGATCAGTTTCCATCCATTGTTTCTCGTCCTGCCCTCTGGTGCTTTGGAGAATAACATGACCCCCTCCTCTTCTTGGTGGCAACCCCTCAAATACTGAAATGCTGCTATCATGTCTCCCCTATTTCTTCTTTTCTTTAGAGTAGCCAAACCCCAGTCCTGCAGCCATTTTTCATTGTTTTAGTCTCCAGGCCTTGGATCCTCTTAGTTGCTCTTCTCTGCACTTTTTCCAAACTCTCAACATCTTTTTTGTGATGTGGTGACCAAAACTGGCTGCAGTATCCCAGGTGTGGCCTTACTAAGGATTTACAAAACGGTACTAATACTGTGCGTGATCTCGATTCTATGCCTCTGTTTACGCAACCCAGGATTGTGTTAGCTTTTTTGGCTGCCGCTGCACACGGCTGGCTCAGGGTCAAGCGATCGTCCACTAGGACTCCAAGGTCCATCTCACCGTGGCTGTTTTTGAACCAGGTCTGGCCCAGTCTCTACTCGTACCTTTGATTTTTCCTGCCTAAATGTAAAACTTTGCTTTTCTCCACCTTGAAACTCATTTTGTTGGACGGGGCCCCTTGTTCAAGTCTGTCCAGATCTCTTTGGGTCCTGAGTTTGTCTTCTGGGGTGTTGGCTACTCCTGTCAGTTTGGTGTCACCTGCAAATTTGACGAGTTCCCCTTCAATTCCCCCATCTGAGTCATTGATGAATATATTGGAGAGTTTACTCGGCCTAAGACGGGGCCTTGTGGTACCCCACTGCTTACTTCCCTCCGTGCAGATGTAGGGCCGTTGAGGACTACGCGTTGAGTACGGTTTGCCAGCCAGCTACAGATCCATCTGGGGGTGATGTTGTCTAGCCCACCCATTTGTAGTTTACCAAGCAGAAGGTTGTGGTCTACTTTGTCAAATGCCTTACTGAAATCTAAGTATACTACGTCTACAGCGTTTCGCTGGTCTGCTAGTTTAGTCACTTTATCGAAGAATGAAATAAGATTGGATTGGCATGATAAAATACGATAAAGCCAGTAAGAGGGGGAAAAAATCCACCACAAACAATCTTTAAATCAATATTTTTCTTTTTTTTAACAACATTTTATTAAGTTTATATAGATGAGGAAAAATAAGAACAATACAGGTGTGATAAAGGAAGGGGTGGAAGGAAGGGAGTTAGGGTAAAATAAGGATAGGTACAATCACATATTTCAACAAACAAGCTACCGTCCAGATCATAATAATGTGTAAATATCATA